AAAGCAGTTTTACTTCCCTGGGATAATAGCTGCTTTTTAAAACTGCCACATTTCCTGTTTTTAGGAGCTGTTTTTCAGTCTAATGTTCTGCAAGTTAGGCATTACCAAAGGGAAAGACAGCTGAAAGGATTTTTCTTGGTTTCCCATTTCATAGCTATAAAGAAAAATATAAAATGTGCTTTTTTAAAAATAAGTGACAAGTCCTCTTACCTGAGGACTAGTTATTGTTTATCTTGAAAACACGTATGTAAGGGCTGTATTTGCTGGGCTCTGTAAAACGGTGAGATTTCTTTCTGTCTTCACAATCTCTTAGCAGATTGCCTGTGATGCATATCACATTCTGGTTTAATTTTTATTCAAAATAAGTGTTTTCTTTTTCTACTTAAAAAAAAAGTGACTGATACTTCCAATCTATTACACTCCAAAAAAAAAGCATATGTTTTCTGAGACACACAGATGATGTTTTTTGATGGGACTTAATACCCTTCTTGGAATAAGCCAATATAGACTAGAAGTAAATAATTGACAAGATAAAACTAATCTTTTCTGAAATGGCACTTTACTACTTGAATGTAGTAGACTTGATAATACTAGTAGGGGACAATGAAATATCCTAATAATTCCCAAGTTAGTTTTTGTTGTCATGCATAGGAATACATTAGGGTATCAGTGGTAAAGTCAACAACGCCTTTATTAGGTCTTAACACAGGCTGTACTGGAGCTTGATTAAAGTTCACTACAACTAAGAGACCAAAAAAAAATGCTAGGAAAAAATACCAAGTATAAAGGCACTTGATTCTGTTGATGAGTGATTTTGATTAACCAGAGGTCTTCAACTAGTTGCAGTTGGGAGTAAAGGTTCAATTCCTGGATAGGCTTGGAGGGGTAGTTGTCAGAAGGCCCCTCCTTGCTGAGAATCCTGAAATTGAGGAGGGAGCATGGCTATGCACCAGGCCTGGAGCTCAGCCAGGTGAAGCTTTGGTGAAGGGCACTCAAAGATAATTTGAGATCCCTGCTTGAAGGCATACATATTATACCCTAATGGAGTAACAGTTGGCTTGGTTCATTATAACTACATGCTATTAAGTGTCACATAAAGAGGAAAAGCTCAAAAGTAAACTGAACTTCAAAACCTGAGCATTTCAGCAGGAATTAATTTTGGAAGTTTGGAATAAGTCTTTATCAGTAAATACTGTTAGGAAGGGGCATAAAACCTAAATGTGATTTATTCCCACCAAGATGTTTAAACATTTTAACAGTAAGGTATTAACAAAGGGCCACGTGGTGGAAGATGCTCAGGCTGAGAGTGGGGGGTGGGGGAGTTGGTAAGGGCCTGGCTATACCTGTTTGAGTTTTCTTAAACCTATCAATAAAATTAAGACAAATGTAAGGGAAAGATATAACTGACTTAGGTGAAGTCCGAGAAAGAATGTGAACCCTGTAGTACTCAACCAATAAGGAACCAGGGGAGGGACTCGCGCACTAGGAGATAAATTACTGGCGCCAATTTCCCCAGGTGTGCCTGCCCTGACCAGACACCCGATCTTGGAGGACTGTCATTAAAGCCTCGCTCCTCTGTTCTCTTTGTCTCCGTGTCCACTTACTGAGTTTGGACCAGTGAGTGTGTTTCTCACAATACTGAGCTTGAATACGTCAGTACTGGGTTCTCCTGACCACCAAAAAGCGGGCAGTTGAGCAGCCCACTTGACCAGCATAAGGACATGTACTGCTGGTGCTCCTGACCAGAGCACAACCTCCTGCCCACAAGCTCCTTCCAAGAGCCAGAAGGCACTGCCAAGGCAGTGAGCTACAGGTTCTACCTAGACATATTTCCTGTTTATTACAAGCAGTTAGTCACTCTGCTCTAAACCTAGTGTTCTTACAGCACCTACTATGAGAGTATTTATTTTTCTTTGTGGCAGGGGTGGAGGGGTAGAGATGTGGGCAAGATGACTGTTGAGGTCACGTGCCTCGAGGACACCAACGCTGCTCTTACCACATCGCTGGGTGGTGGCGGTCTTAATTAAAACTTTATCAACTTACTGTCAAGAGTGGGACATAAGTTACATTCAGAATGATGGAAAGAAAGCTATAGCTCTTTGATTGTTTAGCTTTTTCTGAAAACTATGTATTTAGCATCTCTCATTTTTCTTTCCTTACAAATAATAAAGTTTAAAGGAAACAAAATGAGTTATTCATATAGTTGTCAAAGCTTTGCAGTATTCCATTGTTTTCAATATTTTCATTATTACTAATGTTCACTCTAAGACATATGTTTCAAGCAGGAATTGCATGACCATTTTTTTTTAAAACCTCAACTACAATCCAGTGAATGCTGTAAATTTTTTTTTGCATTCAGCATGTATTAGTCTATCATTATGGAAGCTGTTCATAAGCACTTATTTTTTAAAAAAGGAATCATATTCACAATGTAGAACAAGTTTATAAAATTGGTGAGCAAATTGTAAAAGCATAACACTGTTTAGAAACCAGCTGTCTCCCATTTATATTTCCTTATTCTTGATATAAACTGGAAACATACTATTTAAAAATAATGCTTTTTAAATAGTAAAATATACAAGAGATTCCTGAGCATAAGAAAAATATCTTGAAAATATGTGGCCATTTGAAGTATAAAACAGCAAGTGTAAAGAATAGCATGATTTAAAACTACTGTTTGTAGGCTTATAAACAGTACAAAATAGTTTGCCTTTTCTGAGTGCATAATTATACATTAGTGCAAACAAAAACGTCTCCAAATTTAATGGCTACAAATCTCAAAGATTTGCAGAGGTGCGCAAAACATGAAATTTCTTTAATGTCATGCGAACTGAGCCCAGTTCTTGATTAATCCTTTCCAAACGATCTTCCAAGGCTTCCTGGGGGAAATAATGGAAAAAGTTTAATTAGAATTCTCCATTAAGTTTACTGGTTCCATAATCGCCACCTACTGACCCTTCTTTCAGCAAAAAGTGGTATGAACATTACAATCACAGTTATTTTGTTTTTTTGTACAAATCATTTGTTTCTTTTAACCTGAACAATATGAATCAACTTTTCAACCATTCAAAATAACTGTTGCACTTTAAAATATTCTCAAGTCTGATATTTTGAATATGTGGAAACTAGTAATAGCAATACAACTGACTGGAATGAGCTAATCTTTGGCTTCACTGAACCACAAGGCACCTAGGAGGGGCTTCTTCACACATTTCGCCTGAAGAAACGGACACATCTGATTAGCGCCATATCCCACTTACACATATATCAAACAACTTTCTTTTGACAAAAATTTCCAAGTTAAATAACGCTGCAAGAGACTTTTCAAAGAAACAGGATTTCACACGTAATAAATGTTAACTATTTTTAAATAAATGGTACCTGAAATAAATACCTATCATTTTAGATACTTGATTCAGTATTAACTCCAATGGCATCCTGAAATAAAACTTAAAATTTTCTCTTTAACAGCTTTAAGAGGAGTACATTCACATTCATGATAGAATATTTAACAGATGAGCAAAAAGTTAACAACTACTTTTGCTCTTTGCTGTTTTTGCTGCAGATTTGCACACAATTTTTAAGGAGAAATACTTTTTCAAAATGTTTTTCAATTGAAATTTTCCTATTATGAAATATCCTTCTACAACACCATTTTAAATCAATGTGAAATATTCCATTAGACTTAACCAAAAATTCCATATTCAAGCAAAAATCTTTTAGTAGAAATTTAAGGTTGCTTCTAATTTTGAGTATCATAAATAATGCTACAATAAATATTTTTAAAGATCTCTCTTTGTACATATCTTTAAGTACTGTCTTAGGAGTCATTCCCAGAAGTAAAAATACTAGGTCCAAAGAAATACAAAATTCTAAAGCTTTGTGATAATTTCTACTTCCACTCCATCTGCAGTGTGTAAGAGTAAGCTTTCCCCCATCCTGGGTGCTTTTTTTTCTTTTTTTTAATATCTGCCAATGCAATAGATTTTTATAAAATGATGATTGTTTTTTAAATGTGTATTTTACATATTTCTTTTTTTTGCCCAATTTTACTTTTTCACTTATGAATCATACATAAGCATTCTCAGTCTTTCTTTGCTGCCATTTGTCTTCTAACTGGACTGAAACAGCTTTGACATATATAAACAAAAATCAGAATCCTTTGTCTTATTTTAAAGAACTTATAATCATTACATAAAAACATATTAAAAGTTTCAGATTAATTTAGAATGAGGATATCAACAAGTCCTTCTACTTTCTCAGCAAATTATTATTATTTTTCCCAGCAAATTATTTTAAGAAAAGTTTTACATTGAGTCTTGTAAGTTACAAATAAAAACTTTCAGAACAACAAAAACAATAAAAAGACTTAGCATCAGTAAAAAAAGAGAAGTTAGGGATACAGGGCATAGAAAATGACCTCTATTTTTTTTTTATGACTTTCTTCCTTTCTGGTATCACAGATAAACCTGAAAACGAACTTTTCCTGAGGTTAAGGCACTGAAAAGCCCAATGCAGGTTTTTTTTTTTTAAGTAAGAACATTTTTTTCTCCCCTTTCTTTTCTTTTGTTTTTTATTAAGGAATCATTGATATACACTCTTATGAAGGTTTCATAAGAAAAACAATGCCGTTATTACATTCACCCTTATTATTGAGTCCCCCTCCATACCCCATTGTAGTCACTGTCCATCAGTAGAGCAAGATGTCACAGAGTCCCTATTTATCTTCTCTGAGCTACACTGTCTTCCCCGTGACCCCACACACGCCATGTGCACTAATCATGATACCCCACCACAATCCCCTTCTCCCTCCCTCCCCTCCCCCTCCCCTTTGGTAACCGCTAGTCCCTTCTTGGAGTTTGTGAGTCTGCTGCTATTTTGTTCCTTCAGTTTTCCCAATGCAGTTTTATAAGAGACCACATAATAACACTGTTTAGAAACCAGCTGTCTCCCATTTATATTTCCTTATTCTTGATATAAACTGGAAACATATACTATTTAAAAATAATACTTTTTAAATAGTAAAATATACAAGAGATTCCTGAGCACAACAAAAATATCTTGAAAATATGTGGCCATTTGAAGTATAAAACAGCAAGTGTAAAGAATAGCATGATTTAAAACTACTGTTTGTAGGCTTATAAACAGTACAAAATAGTTTGCCTTTTCTGAGTGCATAATTATACATTAGTGCAAACAAAAACGTCTCCAAATTTAATGGCTACAAATCTCAAAGATTTGCAGAGGTGCGCAAAACATGAAATTTCTTTAATGTCATGCGAACTGAGCCCAGTTCTTGATTAATCCTTTCCAAACGATCTTCCAAGGCTTCCTGGGGGAAATAATGGAAAAAGTTTAATTAGAATTCTCCATTAAGTTTACTGGTTCCATAATCGCCACCTACTGACCCTTCTTTCAGCAAAAAGTGGTATGAACATTACAATCACAGTTATTTTGTTTTTTTGTACAAATCATTTGTTTCTTTTAACCTGAACAATATGAATCAACTTTTCAACCATTCAAAATAACTGTTGCACTTTAAAATATTCTCAAGTCTGATATTTTGAATATGTGGAAACTAGTAATAGCAATACAACTGACTGGAATGAGCTAATCTTTGGCTTCACTGAACCACAAGGCACCTAGGAGGGGCTTCTTCACACATTTCGCCTGAAGAAACGGACACATCTGATTAGCGCCATATCCCACTTACACATATATCAAACAACTTTCTTTTGACAAAAATTTCCAAGTTAAATAACGCTGCAAGAGACTTTTCAAAGAAACAGGATTTCACACGTAATAAATGTTAACTATTTTTAAATAAATGGTACCTGAAATAAATACCTATCATTTTAGATACTTGATTCAGTATTAACTCCAATGGCATCCTGAAATAAAACTTAAAATTTTCTCTTTAACAGCTTTAAGAGGAGTACATTCACATTCATGATAGAATATTTAACAGATGAGCAAAAAGTTAACAACTACTTTTGCTCTTTGCTGTTTTTGCTGCAGATTTGCACACAATTTTTAAGGAGAAATACTTTTTCAAAATGTTTTTCAATTGAAATTTTCCTATTATGAAATATCCTTCTACAACACCATTTTAAATCAATGTGAAATATTCCATTAGACTTAACCAAAAATTCCATATTCAAGCAAAAATCTTTTAGTAGAAATTTAAGGTTGCTTCTAATTTTGAGTATCATAAATAATGCTACAATAAATATTTTTAAAGATCTCTCTTTGTACATATCTTTAAGTACTGTCTTAGGAGTCATTCCCAGAAGTAAAAATACTAGGTCCAAAGAAATACAAAATTCTAAAGCTTTGTGACAATTTCTACTTCCACTCCATCTGCAGTGTGTAAGAGTAAGCTTTCCCCCATCCTGGGTGCTTTTTTTTCTTTTTTTTAATATCTGCCAATGCAATAGATTTTTATAAAATGATGATTGTTTTTTAAATGTGTATTTTACATATTTCTTTTTTTTGCCCAATTTTACTTTTTCACTTATGAATCATACATAAGCATTCTCAGTCTTTCTTTGCTGCCATTTGTCTTCTAACTGGACTGAAACAGCTTTGACATATATAAACAAAAATCAGAATCCTTTGTCTTATTTTAAAGAACTTATAATCATTACATAAAAACATATTAAAAGTTTCAGATTAATTTAGAATGAGGATATCAACAAGTCCTTCTACTTTCTCAGCAAATTATTATTATTTTTCCCAGCAAATTATTTTAAGAAAAGTTTTACATTGAGTCTTGTAAGTTACAAATAAAAACTTTCAGAACAACAAAAACAATAAAAAGACTTAGCATCAGTAAAAAAAGAGAAGTTAGGGATACAGGGCATAGAAAATGACCTCTATTTTTTTTTTATGACTTTCTTCCTTTCTGGTATCACAGATAAACCTGAAAACGAACTTTTCCTGAGGTTAAGGCACTGAAAAGCCCAATGCAGGTTTTTTTTTTTTAAGTAAGAACATTTTTTTCTCCCCTTTCTTTTCTTTTGTTTTTTATTAAGGAATCATTGATATACACTCTTATGAAGGTTTCATAAGAAAAACAATGCCGTTATTACATTCACCCTTATTATTGAGTCCCCCTCCATACCCCATTGTAGTCACTGTCCATCAGTAGAGCAAGATGTCACAGAGTCCCTATTTATCTTCTCTGAGCTACACTGTCTTCCCCGTGACCCCACACACGCCATGTGCACTAATCATGATACCCCACCACAATCCCCTTCTCCCTCCCTCCCCTCCCCCTCCCCTTTGGTAACCGCTAGTCCCTTCTTGGAGTTTGTGAGTCTGCTGCTATTTTGTTCCTTCAGTTTTCCCAATGCAGTTTTATAAGAGACCACATACTTGTGCTGCTATGTTTAAAATGTTAATGTCCCATGGTTTCATGCACTTTAATTCTCTCTGAAAAGCAACCAGAAGAAATGCATATTGGCCTCTTCCCTGGCACCATCTCCTGCTCAGTAATGGAATCACATCTCTCTTCTCTTATTAACTTCTACAGCTATTCCAGTTAACGAAATTCAAGCGTTTTACATGTTAACAGGGGTTCATAAATAGATTGCAGATTGGGGGAAAAAAAACAAACACAAAAAGGGAGATTTAATGTGAGAGAATTAGTTTAACAATGTAAAATCTGTTAAAAGGCATACTGCCATTTGCTCCCAAGTTAGTTTCCTGAAAACATAACACCATGAACACCTTTTCTTGAAGTACAAAGGTAAAATCACTTTATTTCTGAAAGCTAGCATGCAGCTATAAAACATGCTATCATCGAATACTTCCTATAAAGGCTAATAGTTTTGCCCAACTGCTTCAGTGTGTCTGAAAACCATGATATTAAAAACTCATCTTAGATGAATGGAGCACTGACTTGCATCAAGAATCTAAAGCAGATTCAAGCTAAGACATTTCACCTGATTTAATCTCGTCTGCAAAGTGATTCGTCCTCCAGTAGAAGGCATTCGACTTAGTGCTGCCTCAATCTGTTAACACAAAACAATGTTTAAATAAAAATACAAGAACTCTAATTACAGGCAGGGAGGTTTATAATAGAATGGAAAGAAAAGACTCCAACCTAGTTATTTTCTTGTCGATCTCACCTTCACATGAGCTCTGTCTTTCCTACTTAGTAAGGACAGCTCGGCTCAAACAAGTTTCTAGAGCAGTGTTGGTGTGGCATCCACAGGCACATGAACTTCCTGGGGCATCTTTGACTCAGTAAGTCCCTTCTGACTATTCCTCAGACATAAGCATTAAATTTAGAAAAAAATTCTTTTAAAATGTTTGTTTGTTTTTACCTGGTCTTTTTCTTTTGTAAGTTCATCAAAAAACCGTTCCGTTTCAGCTAGGGTCCTAATTTTTGCTGTATACTCAAAGTCATTACCATGAGCTGCTACTGAAGTCGGCTTACACTGTTCATAGCTAACTGATTTATTCTTCTCCCAGGCTGGTCTCAAAGAGACTTTCTTCACTCCATTTGGCAACAGTTCAGGAGAAGAACTACGATTAACATGGATGTCGGCGGCTTTTTCTGAGTATTTTTTTTCTGTCAGAGAGAAAAGGAATTTTTTTTTCTGATCCATTTTTCTAATCAATCATATATTTACTAAGTATGTTACCAAACTTCACTTTCTGGAAATGGCTGCTACACAGCCAAAAAATGTAATGAAAAGACACAATAAATCATATTTAACTCAATGCTTTTCTCCACAGAATTCTAACAGCTTTGCTTTCAGTCAGACAATCTTCACAACTCCCCTACATGAATGTAGGCAAACTTTCTGTAAGCTTAAATGAACTTTAAGTAAAATTTAGTGGGCTTACATCAATACTAAAGAGTTAACATTTTAAGGGCCTACCCAAGTGATCTCACCTCCATCATAACTTTATTCCAAACAAAATATTAATGAAAAATATTAATGAGAAAAAAATAAAAATTACCTGAAGCCTAAGCTGCATAGAGATTTAGAATATAAAAGTAAACAGAAAAACTTAACAGTATGGCTCTGGTGATTAAGCATCAACATTCCCTGTACCTCAGTTTCCCAACTTTCCAATGAGGATAATAACATTGACACATAATAAAGAATCATGAATGCTTATTTTTAGAGGCCCTTGGGCAGAAAAATATTAAAGTGCAGGACATTATAATATTTAAAACCTTGAAAAATACCAGAAACTCACAAAATGGAAGACTAAAACCATAACACAATTTTTTAGGAAAAGATACCTTCCAAGTCATCTAGAGGAAGAAACTGGAGTTGTTTTCTTGGATTGGTACGTTCTAATGTAGACACAGGAACAGTATCTAAATCATCCAAAAGTATATCAGATCTATTGAATGAAGCAAGTTACTTGTGAGAAAAAAAGGGTTTAATTAATTTTCCCTATCTCTACTAGACAGATGAGATGGCATCCAGTTAACTCACATATTTATGTATTTTTAAAAAAGAAAGCTGGTCAGGTAATTTCCTAAAACTGAAATTTGTGTTTTCTAACACAAATTATATTTACATGCTAGCTATTTGAGGCATTTACTCATGTGTTATCTCATTTGATCTTTATAACAACTCTTTGAAATAAGCAGGGCAGGTATTGTTATTCCTGCTTTACAGAAGAGGAAGCAGAGGTTCAATGTGCTAAGTAATAGAGCCTGATGGAACAGGGTCACCTGCTCCGTCCTGGGAGCCCTGGTCTTCTCACTACAGCACACACTGCTGACCACACTTCCAAGAGGGGACAGTTTTCTCAGGAGCACAGGTAAACTTACATTTAGTGCCAGGGCCAGGCCAGGCCAGCCCCCTTTCTTGTACAAATGGCTCAAAAATCCCCCTGTGTCATAACCTTTTCAGGACAACAAAGAATTATCATTCTATATCTAAAATCTGGGAAGGGTTGTAAGGTGGTATTTAGATTTAGTACTAGCCAGTTTATGTAGTTAAAAATTGTTTTAATACTTAAAAATTTTGATTATGACATTCATTTCAGTTATTTAAATCCAGAGAGTTCCCACTAACAACTGAAAAATTAGTGATAGGTAGGAGCATAAGTTGATATTTAAAAAAAAATCAGTATCATACATATTTTATCCTACATTTTTAGAGAACTTACCTAATTGGACTGCTTTCATTTTTGCTAAGTAGATGACTAAATCCTGGGGACAAATTTTCTTTAGGGGATCGCTTTGGACTATAAGCCACAGTCACTGGTGTTAACATAATCTCTCTTTTTGCTACGAAGAAAACAAAGAGGAAATATTCTTTTCCTTCTATAAAATATATGTATTGTATTAGCAGAATGTATGTTAACAGTAGGGCACTTTTTCTAACTTTAAAAGGAATATGATTTCATCATAAAGCTTCTTGAAAGATAGATAAAGAGTAAATAAGATAGAAATAATTTATAATCCTGAAGTCTAGAGGGAACTACTGTCAACATTTTAGTATATCAGACTGTAGTTTCAGCACTCTGACTCAAAACTGGTTTTTCAGGATTTTAGAAGTCAACTGGAAATAGTATGGAAACACTGGTGCACTAGTGAACATTCCTAGAACTCAATCATATATGAATCTCCTCAGTTGTTATGAAAATGGAAATTGCAGACACAAAATCAAGGCTTAAACTTCAAAACCATACCTGTAACTGGCTAAAGGAAAAGGTGACTACTGCTGGATAACCTGAGGTAAATATATGAAAAGAAGCATCTGTTTTCAAGAAGCTTCAATTAGTTCGTTTGAACTAATGTTTAATTACATAGTTATCACTGTGAAGTGGTATTAGTTGTGAAAAATGTGCTGGACATACAAAAAAAACTCACTTTAATACACTACGAAAATTTCTGTTATAGTCATTGCATCTGTGCACTTAATATTATTATCGAACAAGATTCTATTTAGGGATCCAGCATTCAGAGCACTCATAGAAGTCAGGGAGACAGGAATGTCAAACATTGTGTATAGCTAAAATGTTACTCTTTGTGCCCAAATGATACAACCATCTCTTACTTGGAGTGCTTGATTTACGATTTGAAGGTGGTAAAGATGATGATCTCTGTGAAGCAGGATTAAACTTCTTTTGCCTTTGTGGGCCACATTTTTCTGGACACAGACTTGCATTGCCTGACATTTCAGTTTGCCGAGGATTCACTAATTCTGTAACAGACAAATGCAAAAATCAACCAACCAAACAGAATAAACCTAGCTTCAATTATCTGTCTTTAAGAGATGTTTACACCAAAGCAATCAATGCCTCTAAGATATAATAATCATGAGACAAATGTACCACATTATAATGATAAAAAATGCTTGATGAAGGAAAGTGTGAGAGTTTATAATGAACTCATGCTGGTTCCCTGTTTACAATTGGCACTCAAGGTGATTTTTTGAGAGAGTGTATTTTTAGAAAGCAGGTCACTAATTTATTTACTAGGAGATACTGCTTTGGAGATGCAACACCAAAAATGTTGATGACGTGATTACAGGGTCCAACCAAACAAATGCAAGAGGAAGTATAGGAGATGCAAGCACTGCTGACTTGCACCTGTGAAAAATATAGTATTAAAGATGCTTCCTGTCCTGCTAGTAAGTGCTCAGTAACCAGGAAAGGTGAGAGCAGGAAATGCCACATCTTACTTGATGAATTCCAAGTGTCTGGCATAACTTCTTTTTCCTTTTCTTTTTTTATTAAAGTATCATTGATTCACAATCTTACGATGGTTGCACATACACATAACAGTGGTTCAACATTCACCCTTATTATCAAGCCCTCACCCTCTCCATTATGGTCACTGTCTATTAACATAGTAAGATGTTATAGAATCATTGTTTTCTCTGTGCTGTGCTACCGTCCCAGTGACCGTAGTGATTGCAAAGTAGTGTGCCCCTTAGTTCCCCTCTCCCTCCCTACCCAACGTTCCCAACCCTTCCTCTTTGGTAACCACTAGTCCCATCTCAGTGTTTATGAACCTACTGCTTTTTTGTGTTCCTTCTGTTTAGCTCTGTTTTTATATTCCACAAATGAGTGTGATCATTTGTATTTGTCTTTCTCGGCATGACTTATTTCACTGAACATAATACCCTCTAGATCCATCCATTTTATTGCAAATGGCAAGACTTCTTTTTATGGCTGAATAATATTCCATTGTGTATATGTACCACATCTTTATTCATTCATCTACTGATGGACATTTATGAGGCTTCCATATCTTGGCTACTATAAATAGTGCAGCAATAAACATAGGGGTGCATATGTCTTTTCAAATTGGATTTTGTTTTATTTGGGTAAATTCCTAGCAGTGGAATGGCTGGGTCAAATGGTATTTCTATTTTTAGTTTTTTGAGGAACCTCCATATTGCTTTCCACAGCCGCTAAACCAATTTACATTCCCACCAATAGTATAGGAGGGTTCTGTCATAACTTTTTGATGTGTGTAAGACAAACTGATACAGAAAAATTTCAAATATCCTTAAGAATGCCATATAAATCTTTGATAATCAGAAAGTAACATGTAATTTGTTTTGTATAAAAGGTGCATGCTATGCCACATGGTGAAATATTATTAAGCAGGAACTCAATTATCTATGAAATGGGGCTCAAGCAGCAGTAAAATAAATTTTTCATTACTTAAAGAATTTTGTTTTAAAGAAGGTAGTATAACTGGGGGGAGGAGAGGAATTTATCTACATAATATTTATCTCTCTACACCAAACAAGGAAAAATACTTAACTATTTGAGGTGTCCTCCTTCTCTGTCTGCGTGCCCCAATTTTTTAGTTTTTTTTTTTCATCAAGTTCTCTTAAAGCTTTCAGGACTGGTGTGTCTGAAGTCTCTCTTTGTTTTTTTATCAGTAAGCTTGTTGGTGAATTTCCAGATGAAGCATCCTTTTCCAGAGGAGATAGGTACCTTAAAAAATAATTGTTAAGATACACAGTACTATGGACTGAATATTTGTGTCCTCCCACCCCAAATTCATATGTTGAAGCCCCAATCCTCATATGTGATGGCATTTGAAGGTGGGGCCTTTGTGATATGATTTGGTTTAGATGAGATCATGGGAGTGGAACCCCTACGATAGGACTAGTGCCCTTAGAAAAAGAAGAAGCTCAAGATCTCCCTCTCTGCACAGACACACCAAGGGAAGGCCTTATGAGAACAACACGAGGTAAAGGCCCTCACCAAGAACCCAACCATACTGGCACCCTGAACTTGGGACTTCCAGCCTCCAGACTGTAGACAATAAATATTTGTTGTTCAAGCCCCCATCCATGGTAATGTGTTAGAGCAGCGCAAACCAAGGCTGTTTACTGGCTTTGTTGGAATACCACGGGAGTTGATAACAACACTCCACAATGAATATGTATGTATGCTTCACAATGTCAATCAATTAAAACTATATCTGCACTAAAAGACCAGTGCTTCCCAATCCTCTTCACCTCCTACCTCATACAGAAACATACTTAATTGGTGCTCTGGAGTACAGGGACAAGGTTGCTCTTGAGGGCTTGGGCTATGAGGAGGTGAGCGGGTCAACATCTTGTCCTGACCAGGCACCCATGTGCGGCACACCGCCATGCAAAAGCAGCTTAAGGCAGGGAAGCTCTGCACGGCACAGCCTTTGAAAGCAAAATATCCTAAAAACATTAGTTTTTCAAAGTAAAATAAAAATCAGGTCCTCAAAATTAAGACATTAAAGAAACAAAGAAATGGCTCTTTATGCCTTCCCAGACACTTAAAGGCAACTGAAAGCTCTAAGAAAACACAAGAGTCTCTAAATATGATCTAGACAAAGTTCTCTTACCCAGAAACACAGGTTTCCTCCAGGTGGTTATCCACTTTATTATCCTGGATGTCCAAAGGCTGGCCAGTAAAGATAGAATACTCTGCTCCTGGAATCAACCACTTCCGCCTGCTGACATCTGAGGCTGCTCGTGTGCTGTGAGAATGAGAAATGTTCTGAGACATCTTGAGGTTTGGACTTCAATTCAGACTGAGCATAGAAATAAAACAACTGCTTTGAAATACAATTTACAAGTTTGCACAGTAATTTTAAAACTGCATATGACAATCTTATTTCAGATACATGAATTCTATTTTATGGTTTTAAGTTCCAACTAACCTGTTATTTTTGGTTTCTGTTACTTTAGAATATTCCTGAGTTTCAGTCAAATTCAGGTGCTGTCATATCCTCATAGCTTGGAACACCCCACCTAGCCCACTACCATGCTTCCTACCCTCTATACCCCTACCATAGCTCAGGCCAAGAAGGTGAGGCAAGAGTGCCCCCCTTCCTGTTCCTTCCAGACCAGCACTGTCCAGCAGAATTTCCAGTGGAAACAGACATGTCCTCTTGTCTGCACAGCCCAGCAAAGCAGCCACCAGTCACATACTGCCATTGAACACTTGAAATCTGGCTAGTAAGACAGAAGAATCAGTTTTTAAATGTCATTTAATTTTAATAAAATTTAAAGAGCCAGAGGTGGCTTTTGGCACCAGGATGCAGTGCAGTGCAGTTCTAGCCTATCACCCGCCATGTGCTGATGAAATCTCTGCTCGTGAGGCTCACAACACCCCACGTCAAACCGGCCACTCACTGGACTTCATTACTCATCCCATTCCCCCCACACACACTCCCGCCTGCATACGCGGCAACTTCAGTGTCCACACTGAAGGAGCTACGGACCTCTCTCCAAGGATCTGATTCTACTCCTCAGTCACCTCCTCAGGGGACACTCGTTGGGCTGAGTCCATCACCAGAGAACACACCCACCTTTGTACAAATACTGCAAAGATTCTTACAGCTCACATGCTCGAGCATCATCACAGCTCTCTGAGAGGCCTTGTGATTCTTGGCCTCACCACTCTCTATGTCAACCTCTACTAACGTCTCCGGCCCCTCTCCACCCACTCTGGAGTGCTCACCTCTGAGAATAATCACTCATCTCTCTGACTTCCCTCCTCGCTCACCTTCCATGACATCTGAGTGGCAGCAAAAACCTAAGCCTCAGTGAATGACTACAGTGATCTCACTTCCAGTGTCTGTACTCCTATAGTTGAGCTTTGCTGGAAAAAAAAGGTAACCTAACAGTGCAGTCTGGGGTGTCATTACAGAATCACTATCACTATCTCAAGTGGACACCCAACACTGGCTTGCAATATACTTTCTGCACCATCGAATTCCCACTCTCCAACACAATGAACTTCCCCCCCAACTCTCCTCAGACCTCCCGCCCAGCCTTGACTCAGGTGAGAACGTGAAATAGAAACCAGAAGATGAGGGTTTCCTCCCACCTTCCCCTCTCTACTCCTCTCAAACCCAAACTGTAAGGGTTGCCTCTTTTATCTGTTTTGGTTTCACCTCCCATTAACTCCCTACCCTTTACCCTCAATTTTTAAATTAACATTTCAAATATTCTTAGAAAATTGCCAGGAATACTATAACAAGCACTCACCCATACTTAGTTTTAATAAATAGTAACATCATACCATACTTTTTAAAATTTTAAGACAAAATATTATATATACATGGTTGGTTGTATCTTTTGCTTATGTATACACCCTTTCAATGCTTTTTCTACTCAACATTATGTTTGAGATTTATCCAAGTTAGCATACAAAACTTTATCATTTTCCTCATTTACACACAGTAGAAATATATCACAAGTTATTTATTCTTTCTTCTTTTGGTGGATATTTAGTTTCTAGTATATCACACCTTTCAACAACACTACATCTAATGTGTAAGAATTGCTCTAAGGTAAATACCTAAAATAGAACTGTGGAATTTGGGGTGTGCAGATCTTCTGTCTTACTGGATGTCAACAATTATTCTAGGTGAGCTGTATCAATTTTCAATTCAACAGGAGTTTGAGAGTTCCTATTTCTTCACATCTTTGCTGAACTTTACAATGATTATTAGATTTTAAGTTGGCCTGTCTGGTAGTATGAGTAGTAGCCCATTATTGTTTTGATTTACATTTTTCTGACTACTAGTGAAATGAGCATCTTTTCATTTTTATTGGCCCATTTAGGTTTGTTTGACTGTGAACTGCTTGTTCATACTCTTTTATCACTTTTCTGTTGAGGAGGTTATCTTTTTCCTTTTGATTTGTTTAAGTTCTTTATATTCTGGATTTAATCCTTTACTGGTTCCTGTTCACTTTAAAAATACAAAATATTTAAAGTGTGCACAGAAACGTGGATTATACTCATGCACAACCATCCCACTTTATAAAAATCTCGGTTGTCTGTTACGTATCCTGCAGATTGAAATCCACTTTCAAGTGGGACCCAGTTATAGCTGAAGCCTGGTGCCTCTCCAATCACGATCTCTCCGGGCACCCGTTTGCATCCTTTTATACTTTTACTACATCTGTATGAACCTGAAAGATATGTAGAAATATTTTACATGCTAGGGTTCTAGAAGCTTTCTCTCAAGTTCCTTTGCCAGCTCCTTCTCTATCCAACACCAAAACACTGGGGGTTTTCAGAGCTTTGTCCTGGACCCTATCCATCTTATAGCTTCAATCACTACAGAAAGACAACTCCAAAATGTATAACTGCAGCGTAAGACCTTACTTCTGAGCTCCAAATTCAAAGTTCTAATCACCTACTTGATTTCCACTTGGAATTCATATGACTCTCAAACTAAAATATTCAAAATGGACATTCTGATCTTACCCCAAGGTCTATCTCCCATCTCCTCCAGCTCCATTTGACACCCTTGGTTCCTCAAGACAGAAACCAAGGAGTTTCCTGACACCTCCCTTTCTTACCTTGCCATTCCATTCATAACCACGTTCTGTGGATTCTACCTCCAGAATCTCCATCAAATTATCTTTTGTCCATTTCCATGGCCACCACTCAGCCAAACACCCTTTCTCTCCTACCTTTGCAAGAGTCTACCAGTCAGTGTCTTTGCTTCTATTCTATTCCTCCCCCCATCAGCTCCTCACAGCAGGTACATTAAAAAAATAGAAACCAGATGACCTAATTTTACTAAATAAAACCCATCAAAAGTTTCCCAGTGGAAACCTAAACTCCTGACCATGGCTTAGAAAACAATGTATGATGGGTCTATGATTTCATCTAGAGCTACTTCACTGGCAATATTCAGGCCACACTAGCCTCCATGAGGTTCTTCAAACGTGCCAAGCTCTTTCCTACCTTGGGACAACGTAAGACTAATTTCTTTGCCTGGAATTCCCTCTCCTTGACACACCTCCTATGCCAACAGCTTTACACCCAGCTTATCTCCCTGCTTAAAAGTCACCTGCACAGAAGGGCCTTCCCTGACCATGCCTTATTCCACCCTTTTGTTCTCTCTCAAATGTTTAATTTCAGTTAGATTATTCAGTTTAAGTAATTCACATTCTACTAAGATAGACACCTAGAAAAGGTTTCTCATATGACAATTACAACTTTGGTTAAAATTTACCAGTTTAGCCATCTTTTCTTGATAAATGTCAGTATTAAAAAGTTATGGTCTACTCATTTAATACTTACACAAAATCATAATAAAAACCAGTTCCAGTATGAAAAAAACTTACTCTGTAAATGTATCACCAAGATAATGCTCTGGAATTATAGCAAGCTAATTCTGAAAAACTAAAACCTAAAAAGAAAAAAACCATACTGATGAAGACCTATCTATACAGATCTTTCCACATATATGGGAAAAAATTTCTGGAATTTTAGGACTAAAAGACCTTTGGAGATATTCTGGCCCAACGTCCTTGTTTTTATAGATAATAAAACTGAGCTCCAAAATAACTAGGCAATTTGCCTAAGGTCATACAGCTGGGCAGAGCCAAAAAAAAAAAAAAAATATCCCAATCTCATCACCTCCAATCTGATTTTATTTCCTTCTTTTGGCAAACGTGTCTCTGTGTAGGAGCTTTTACAATATCTAATGAGATGTTTTTACACATTTAAGTTCTATAATGATGCTTAACCCCAACTTTCTTATGATTTAGACAGATGAACTTCTCAGTTCAAGAAAAAGGGAGCACCTATTTCTAGTTTTATAGAGATTAAACAAAATAACTTACTTGGCACGGGAGGGTCTCATAGAAGTTTTAGAATTATGATGAAGACTTAACATATTTTCACGCTCTACTTGCTTGACCTGAGCTTCAAGTTTTGAAATTGTTCTAATTCAAAAGCAATAAGATAAAATATATGTCAACAGATTTCAATGTAAATTTAAAATATATCTCAACTACAAATTATTTAACAGATCCTTCCAGAGAAAGCTGAGAGAAGAGCTGCTAGATCACACACCATTTTCACAGTAAAATGCCACCAATTCAACTTTAAAAAGTTGAACAAATCAGGGAAAATAAATGGAAAGGCAAATACATTAAAGGAGCATTGCATACACTACAACTGAAGGAGAAGGAAACAACAAATGTACACAATAGCAGAAAATTATAAATTTGACTATAGACCAAAACACACCAGGTATAAATGAAATTAAATACATTCAAGTATTCAAATATATTACCATTATAACATATATATATTCATGCATATAGAATATATATAAGTAATACTTTTACAAAAGAGGAAGTAGGTTTAACATCCAGTAACAAAGCCATTAAAAAGAACACCCTAATTCTTAGAAAATGCAAAGGCTAGCCTATCCTGATCAACTCTCAACCTACCATCAGCTCATCCAACTTGTGCCATGTTCAGAATAAAAGCCTATTTTCAAGTCAACCAACATAAAATAAATACTCTAGCCAATTAGTTGTTTTGAGGATATCTTGGCATTCTTTGTTTGAAACTTTGTATGTGTCTTCATCTCATTTTTGAAACACAAATGTTTACCTACCCTGTTGCAAGGAAGCCTTGAGAAAGAACAGCTCTGACAGGGCTGATGCTTTATACCAATCTGATAAAGAAGCTGTCACTGTAATTGAATGTATCACAGAAAAGATATGAGCAGACAGGAAAGCTAGACAGCGTTCCTGTGCTCCCCATGGGAAGTCCTTAAGAATGCAGTAAAATCTTCAAATAAGGGACATTACTTATCTACAAATACAAATATAAAAATATGCTCCAAAGTCAATTAGAAATGTTTAATTATTTGCCACAGGGCCCATTTATGACTCTGGTCCTACCTTATTAAGCAAATTAGATGACAAAGTCCCCAAACCAGGTCATTAAGAATAGATGACCATAAAGTTGCTGTGAATGTTGTTTTCATTTGGGAGCACAAAAATAATTCAGTGAACTAGACCGCTTCTTAAAAATTCTTTTCAATGATTTAAAAATCTTTTAGATTTTTACCTATGCTAACAAAATACACAATGTTTGGGGAAATGCACACCTCTCAGGAACAACCATCAATGTATTCTAGTTATTTAAAAATCTTCTTGGGAGAGGGAGGAGCCAAGAGAGTGCAGTGAGTAGAGCAGCGGAAATCTCCTTCCAAAACCATATATATTTTTGAAAATACAACAAATACAACTATCCGTAAAAGAGAAACCAGAAGATACAGACAGGACAACAGCCAGGCTACATCTACACCTGCGAGAACCCATCACCTCACGAAGGGGGTAAGATACAAGCCGCGGCCCAGCGGGACCTGACGGCCCCTCACCCAAGCTCCCCAGCAGGAGGAGAGGAGTCGGAGCACGGAGGGAGAGGGAGCCCAGGACTGCTTAACACCCAGCCCTAGCCATCCGCACCAGAAGCGCAGACACATAGTGCATGGTGTGCAGGACACTAGGGAAATGGAACAGTAAAACCTGCAAGCGGGTCCCCATAGCCGGTGCCCCTGGGACAAAGAAAAGTGAGTGCTTTTGGAAAGTCTTACGGGGACAGGGAACCCACAGCTGGATGGAAGCATCCTGGGACATACAGCCCAGGACCTGGGAATCCTGGGGAACTTTGGGTGCCCTAACCCCCTGGGCAGCAGCACAGCTCTGAGGCCCCTCATGGCCATAAAAAGCCTCCCACCCATTCCCCCTCCAACACGGATCCGCCATAGCGGAGCAGCAGCCTGAGAGCAGCCACACCCACAGCGACCGCGGAGCTTACTCCACAGTGGCCCGGGCAAGAATCAGAGACCTCGTCTGCACGCAGCTGCCTAGCATAAGCCGCTAGGAGTCGCTGTTCTCCCAGGAGAAGGCCACAAACTAGCAAGAAGGGATGGTCTCCCAGCCGACACACGCGCCAGCTCCCCACAACTACCTCTATTGCCATGAAAAGGCAGAAGAATTTGATCCAGACCAAAATCACAGAGACAACCTCTGAGAAGGGGCTTGGAGAGATAGACCTAACCAATCTCCCTGAAAAAGAATTCAAAATTAAGGTCATAACCATGCTGATGGAGCTGCAGAGAAAAATGCAAGAGCTAATGGACAAAGTAAGGAGGGAGACTACAGAAATAAAACAATCTCTGGAAGGATTTAAAAGCAGAATGGATGAGATGCAAGAGGCCACTGATGGAATAGAAACCAGAGAACAGGAACTCATTGAAACTGACGCAGAGAGAGATAAAAGGATCTCCAGGAATGAAGCAATATTAAGAGAACTGTGTGACCAATCCAAAAGGAACAATATCCACATTATAGGGGTACCAGAAGAAGAGAGAGAAAAAGGGATAGGAAGTGTATTTGAAGAAATAATTGCGGAAAACTTCCCCAAACTGG